CGGACCAAGCAGGCTCAGGGGATGGTGCTAGAACTCTGAACCACATATAAAGGAATATTTAGAAGCTTGGAAGGCTTACAGCTAAGGGAATCTGTAGCAGAATCAAAACTCCAGTACTTTCTAATTCAAGATGCTCAGCTGCTCCCGGAGCCATCATCTTGGGAGAGAGACCAAGCAGGGGAAGGATCAGAACAGCCACGAACACCTGACAGAACCATGGAGATACAGGTGAGGACATTCTTTTTTTGGTATCTGTTCATTGGTCTCTCACTGCCTGTGCACCTCCATTCTGGTGACTAGAGGGGATGCCTGAGTGAATGGACACCCCACCCCTACCCCTGGAGGGTTCTACTACGCATGCGCACAGATCTCCTTGAAAATATTGAGCTAGCCTTCCTTTACTGGATTAACCTCAATTTTTTGCGGGATATTGGTCTTTTTTTGTGTTATTTTTCTACATTTTTAAAACACTTTGTGATTTGAGTGAAGGTTTACTGAGATCATCAGTTTTACCTTCAACAAATCACAGACTTTGTTTCACTACGGTGATTGCAGTCCCCTCCCATGTGACAACAGTGATCACACTTCCATCTTGTCTGTTTTCTTGTTTCTGTGTGTGTTTCACTTTCCCCTTGGTAAAGCAGACCTCAGTGACAAAGGAGATTCTCAGCGAGCTGTAGCGACACCATGGCTGCGACAGTAAGTTCAGACATAGCCATCTTGTGAGGGCGACTCAGGACCAGGCAGTGTTCATGGGGTTGCCATGAGTTGGAACCGACTTGGTGCCACCTAACAACAGTATTGTTGCTTTTATATTTGGGTGGATCCTATTTGCTAATGTTTTGTGGTGGATCTCTGGGTGTGTGCATGCTGTTTTTGTCTGATTTCGGCATCAGGGTACAGCTCTGATGAGGTGTGAAGGGTCCACAGCTTCTTAAACTCTAGAAATGATTGTGCAGAAGTCTTGTCATTTCTGTGTTTAGTCAAGTCCACCAGTGAAACCATGAAGCTATGGATCTTCCTTTCCTTGGAAGCTTTTTAACTGCAAATTCAATATCTTTAAATAGCTATGGGACAACTCCAATGATCGATGTCATCTTTGATGAGTTTTAGTAATCTATAGCTTTCAAGAAATTGATTTACTTCATCTAACTTGAATTTATGGGCATTAAGTGTTTCATGTGAAGTTCTGGTGTGGCACTGTAGGATAAGCCCTGGACAGCTAAACCCACCAGTCACTCCTTGGAAACCCTATACAGGGTTGTTATGAATTGGAATTAATGACAACAATTAATGACTAGTTCATGGCATTCCTCCATTACTGTTTACCACCTGGAGCTTGCAGTGCATGCCCCTTTTCCTTGCTGTTAGTGGTGGTTTGTATTTTGTTTTGAATCCATCACATATCTACCAACAGATCACTGCTGTTGCAGGACTGCACGCATAAGAATATCTATCTCTGTTGCCTTAACTTTTGCATTCTTCCCTTTGTCTTTCCCTATCTCCATTGTTTTTTGGCTAACCTCCCTCTTGTATATTGCCTTCCCTACCCCACAAGTTAACACCTGTCTACCCTCTAGCCTGTGAATTACTCCCCGTTCTCCCTTTTACCCCTGGCAACCATCAAAGAATGTTTCCTTTTAGTGTGAAAACCTTGACTTTTTATAATCCTGGTCTCAGACATTATTTGTCGTATGTGACTGGCAGATTTCACTCACCATAATGTCCTCCAGGTTCACCCATGTAATGTTTGTTTCTCCTTTGATACGTCTCTAGCAAGATTTGAGTTGTTACTGATCTTTTCTTCAGAGTTAGCTTTGGTTTGGTGTTGTCACTTTGTTTTCTTCATCGATTTCCGCTCCTTTTTACTGTCTGGCGTTTGAGAAACATTGTACCCTGCTGTTGGTGAGTGGTGCGAGTGACAGATGTAACGCAGGTGCTTGTTTGGTGATGTTCAAGTCTAGTGCATCCTTGATTTTCCCCAATGAGACCCTGAGAGCATTCAACTTATGCATTCATCCTTGTTGTCCTTTGCAAGTGATTCCACCGCCATGAACACAAACTCATGTTCCCCCCTCTCTCTCCCACCCTGGGTCACTATGAAGAATCTCTGGTTTCTGTGCATTTGCGTATTTTATGTAAGTGACAAGATCATAGAGTGTTCGTCCTTTTGTGACTGATGTCGCTCAGCCCCGTGGTTCCAAGGTCTATCACATTACTGCCTGTACCAGGGCTTCGTGTCTTTGTTGTTGTAAGGTGCCACCAAGTCGGTTCTGACTCACAGCAACCGTGTGCACAATCTCATAGTTGTTACGCTTGAGCCCACTGCTGCCGCCACTGTGCCAGTCCATCTTGTTGAGGGGCTCCCTGTCCTTTGCTGACCCTCCACTTTACCAAGCCTGACACTCTTCTCCAGGGACTGGTCCCTCCTGATAACATGTCTGAAGTATGAGAGACAAGTTTCTTTAGAGCTGAGTAATACTCTATTATATGGAGACTTTATAATACTCTATTATATGGAGATCTAATTCATCATGAAATCCACCATCCCAAAGTCGACAGCAGAGTGGTCTCTGGGATATCCCTAAGATTCACCAATATCGAATTCCACAATACCTGTATCACCCCCAAAGGAGACCCCATACCTGTTAGCATTCACTCTTTAATCTTACCCTGCCCATCAGTTTACGTCTTCTGAGTAGTTTGTGAGGGTCCCTGGGGGGAGCCTACAATGGTTTACATTCACCTGTTAACCTACAGGATGATAGCCAAGAAAACCGTACGGAGCATTTCTCCTCTGTAACACATGAGGTCCCGGGGAGGCAGATGTAGACAGCTGATACAAATGCAATCATGTCATTTTAATGCTATAATTGGCTTTTTGGATCGGGTTACTTATACTTAAGGTTTTCCAGGTTCATTCCTTTCATCATTTCGTCTTCCAGCTGACAGACCACACATCTGGTTACCCACTCATCAGCTGGCTTACATTTGGGTTGTCTCCTCTCTTTGGCTGCTATGAAAAATGCTTTATGAAGATTGTGTACAAATGTATTGTAAGACAAGTTTCATATGTCAGACGGTAACACTCAGGGCTAATGTTTTGAAGAGCTGCCATACCGTTTCCATAGTGACCAGACCATCTTACATTTCCACTAACTCATAGCCAAGGGCTTAAAGCACTTAACGGCTATCCGAAAGGTCGGTGGTTCAAACCCACCAGCTGCTCTGTGGGAGAAAGCTGTGGGAGTCTGTAAAGATTTACAGCCTCCGTGTCCTCCAGGGCCACTGAGAGCTGACTTGATGGCAAATTTCCATTTGTTATGACTATGAGTTAGTAGTGATTTAACTTCTTGTGGTGGAGCTGCTGTCTCACTCTGTGTTCTCCCTAGTGACTAATGATGTTGTGCATTGTTTCGTGTGCTGCATTTTGGAGAAATGCCTGTTCCGATCCTTGGTCTACGTGGGCTAATGCGCCGGACTGCAAAGTCAGTTGGATCTGCAAGGGTCAGAACCGACTTGATAGCATTACAAAGACAAATGTTGTCATTGTTACTGTTAAGTTGCAGGAAGAGTATATAGGTCCTTACACACATGATTTGCAAGCATCTTCCCCCAGTCTGTGGGTGTGTTTTTCACTTTCTTGATAATACCCTTTGACAAAGTTTTACATGTAAATTGAGTCCAATTTACCAATTTCTTCTCTGGTTGCTTGCTCTGACCCTGGCTACCTTTCCTATCAACCATCGACAGAGGTACATTGGAATCTCCAGCTGAAATGGTGGATTGACTAACTGTGCAGCTGGTCTTGCTCTCATGCATTTAGAAGCTCTGCTATTGGTCACGTAAATGTCTAGGGTTATTACGTTCTCTTGGCTAATTGGCCCCCTCCCCCTTCATCCTTAAGGAGTTCTGGTAGCATAGTGGTTACGAATCAAAACTACCAGCTGCTCCGTGGGAGAAAGATGAGGCTTTCTGCGCCCGTAAAGATTTACAGCCTCGGAAACCCTGTACAGGGTCGCTATGAGTCGGAACTGACTCCACGGCACACAGCCACCACCACCCTTAATCCTTATGAACTAGCCTTCTTTGTCGCTGACAGTACTCTGCCTTGAAAGCCACTGTCTTTGTGAGTGCAGACAGCCTCATCGCTCTCTTGAGGAGTGACTGGTAGGTTTAAACTTCCAACCTTGTGGTTAGCAGCCTATTGCCTAACCCACAGAGCCACCAGGGTTCCTTCAAACGCACTTAGATGTTAATCTAACCCCTTTGGCTTTCTTCTGGCTAGTGTGTTAACATGGTGTATTTTTTCCCCACCTTCTAAATCTTCACATCTCTATGTGCTGTAACATGAGGAGGGGAAAGAAATCGTCCAGTCGCTGTAGCAGGTGGGCCTGGGAATACAACTGCGGACCAAGAAACTTACACGATGAGTTGGGGGGGGCTCCCACCACCTGACTGTGGTGGTGGTCAGGGTGTCATGGCTACAGTGTATATTTTTATGGGCAACATATGTTGTTTCTAAGTGTCGTCAAGTCAGTTCCGACTCATAGCGACCCTGTATAATGTTTCTGTGGTGAGTGTGAACTGACCGTGTGGTCCAGTGTTGATGCCCCAACAGAGAGTTGTGCCTTATTTGTCATCTAGACTGTGGGGTTCCTACCCTGGCTCAGACCTCTTACCTAGCCTCACCAGGCCCAAACCACTTAGCTTGGTCTCAGGCCAACAACCCCAGATAGGAATGGCCGGGACTCCTGCTCTCTGGCTGCCTCTGAGGAGCCCAGCGTGTTGAAGCTCTGTTCCAAATGACATAGAGAAGTGAGTAAAAACCAGTGTGGTTTAATAAATAGAACATGGTTCCTGTACAAGCTCTTCACTGTGGGTCCCAGGACCTGGGGAGCCACAGCGGATGAGGCCGGAGCCGAGTGAACGCTGCAGTTTCCCTGAGGCGACAAGTCACATAGCAGTAAGAGAACACCGGTGGCATCTGGCCAGAACCCCTACACCTGGGTGTTCTCGGCCCTGCGAGCTCGACAACTGTACCGTTCACAGAGTTTCAGGAGCTCAGACAGGAGGAAGACGGAGGAAGCCAGGCCAGTTAGAAACACCAGATCTGCCGGAGGGAGACAAGAGTCAAGGCGCCACATTGGGAATCCAGTGTGGGGGACAAAGACCCTGAGCTGTCTGGGATCACAGTTTTCTGTCCCTCCTAGGGCACCTTGGCTCTAGGCCCAGGTCCACTGTAATTCCTGGTGTCACTGCTAGTCATGATTACGTACAGAGTCTCCTTAGGGGTGAGGCATCCTTTTAGGGATCACAGTGAAAGTAGAGCTGAGGAGCAAGGCCTTGCTTACGTCTTGCTCACTGCCAGCTCTGCCTACCCCCTCCCTAGTTCTCCAGGGCCCACTCACCCAGCACGCCCAGATTCTCCGTCTGGAAGACCTTCTGCAGCAGGGGGATATAGATCACAGCCAATTGCCCCAGGAGGGAGCCAAGCACGGAGAAGAGGAACATGCGGTTCCTGAGGAAGCCGATCTCGCAGATGAGCTTGGTCTGCAGGGAGGAGGGGATGGACGGCGGCTTGCACACAGCTCCACCCCTGCCCTGCTGACCGTCCTGCACTAGGCAGGGGTGCTCACCTGGGAGCGGCAGGTCAGGGCGTTGAAGAGGTCAAACAGCACGAAGCAGGTGAAGGTCATGGTTGTGGTGCGTGGAGTGCTGGCCTTGTCTTCCGGGATCTGAGAGCAGAGGGAGACAAACCCATTCACAGTGACCCTGAGACACAGCAGACCTGTTCCCCGGGGGGTGGGGATGGGGGTTTCCATGGCTATGGATCTTTATGGGCTCAGACTGCTTTCTTTTCATCCTGCAGAGGAGACGGGGGGTTTGGACCACCGACAGTGCAGTTAGCAGCCTAACCTTTAGCCCAGTGCCCCTTCCTCAGATGAAGTGTGTTCTATGTGGAATCTTCTAGGGGACACTTGGACAGGAATGAATGAAGGTCTCCCCCCTCCTCCCAGGCCCATGACTCTGGCCACTTTGCCTGGGTGGGACAGAGGTGATGCTGCTTCCTCCAAATAACGGGGTCACTATCTCCCCAGGAGCTGGGATTGGGTGCCCTCGAGTGGATTCTGACTCAAAGTGACCCCTGGTGAGACAAGACCTGCCCCACAGGATTTTCTAGGCTGTCATCTAGGCCCATGGGTCTAGGGGTACACCACAAGGTGAGACCCAGTAGGACAGGCCTGGGGACCCACGTCCGAAGTCTGAACTGATGTCCATTCTGTGGTCAGGGGCTGACTTCGTAGCAGAATCCTCTCCCCATGAGGTCTCTTGAGGATGAGACTGGGCTCGATGAGAGAAGCTGGGGCATCCCGAGAAGCTCACATGCCAGACGTGAGACCCACTCTCAATGGGCAGGGCCGCCAGGGGTCTGAGGGTCTCTCCAAACACTAGACTCCAATAGCCATAGTGCAGGAGCAAGATGGTGTGGTCTGGCTCCGACTTATAGGTACCCCATGTAGAGGGTTTCTGAGGCTGGAGATCTTTAAGGGAGCAGACACCCTTATCGTCCTTCTGAACTGTTTACCAGGTGGGCAGCAGTCCACTGTGTGGCCTTGGAAACCCCGTGGGGCACTTGTCCTCTGATTTGGGTCTGGTCTGTAGGGTTTAGACCCTAGGTGCTCCGTAGTGTACTTGCCGGCTGACGCTGGGATTTATCTGCAGACTGTAAATCAGTGTTCTGTCAGTGCCTGGGGAAGGCTTGCTCACCTCCTTCCAGAAGACGAACAGGGTCCCGCTGATGATGATGGTGGCAGACAGCAGGATCTTCAGGACGAGGGCTCGGCCGAGGATCGTGTCCTTGATACTCCTCGGTGGCTGTCTCAGGGTGTCCCTGTCCACAGGCTCCATCCCCAAGCTGTGTGGAGTGCAGGCAGGAGGAATACCAGGGGAAAAAACAGGCAACCAACCGTGTGATACCCCTCACTCCCTAGCCCCCCCATGTACTGACCACACTGGGACCGGGAGCCCCTTGGCCAGAGAGGGAGCAGACACCCACTCTGTGGAGACAGCTGTGGTCAACTCCTCCCTGGTCCAAGCTACTTAGGGAGCCCATGCCCACACTGGGCTTTCAGAGGACACAGGGATCTCATCCCTTCAACAGCGAAAACAGTACCAGCTCCGTCTAAAACCACACCTACTATGCACTCCCACAGGGCAAGATGCCTTGCTCCAACCACAGAGGTCTCCCTCTGCCAGTCATTGCCAGAGCACCTCGTGTGTTTCAGGGGACCCACCTCTGGGCGGGCGGCCCATCCATGATGATGTTGATCCACAGGATCTGCATGGCGTTGAGGGGGTTGGGCAGGTTGAGTACAGTAGACAACGTGATGAGGCTCAGGGCAGAGATGCTCCTACAGATGCAACAGTGAGCACAGCCCGCCCTACACCGGTCACACTGGCCCCACACAACCCGCCTGCACTTACGTGCTCAGCTGGAAGCGCACAAAGTTCTTGATGTTATAAAAAATCCCCTTGCCCTCCTCCACGGCGTTTCTGGAAAACAGGAGGGAGCGTTTATTCAGAGGCAGCTCTGGGGGCTCCAACTCAGACATAGTATTGTGCCTGGCACTGTGCTCGCCTCCCCCCACCTTTAAATCACTGAAAAACTTTAAGCCTTTCCTTGCAGTAAAGCACGGCTACCTGTCACCGCTCACAGACACAGTTCAGAACAAGGAGGGAGGATGGCCGGGACAAGGAGGGAGGTTGAGAAACTTACACTTGTGGTTTTAGAAGGCTATACATAAAAGCCCTTTAGAAACGGGATCTTGAGTTGCTGACAAGAGTAGAAAATGGTCTAACTGCTCCCTTGTTGGAGACATTTTTAATTTAAAAGAACTAGAAGGCTGTGTTTAATGCTACATGAGAATCCTTTCACCAAGTGGACAAACCTCATGTTCAGGCTGCAGGTGGTGAGTTTTTCTACGCCAGCCCCTAGAATTCATGCCTGTTAGTGACCCCCCCCACCTCTACACTAGACTCCCACTTGCCATTACAGCACCCCCATGTCTATCATTTCCCCCTTCTGTTGGCCATACAACAATGGTTCCAGGTTCTTTTTTGAGTAATGTTGGCACTGGGAAGGCAGATCTCTAGGGCGGGTGAGCCAGTCTCTGCCAGAACACCCCTAACCCTGCTGCTGGGTCATTAACCCTAAGATTCACCAGCCACAAATGGACCACCGTTGAGTCAGTTCCAACTCACAGTAACCCTGTAAGACAAAGGGGAATCCGTATGGGAGCCTCGCCTTTCTCCCCTAGTGGCTGGTGAGGTTGGCCCCCTGATCCTGTTTAAGGTGGTATTTGGGACCCTTGTGCTGTGGGAGCTGGCCTGAAGCCCCCTCTGTCCTGGGCTGCACCACTTACATGATGGCCGTGAAATCATCGTCCACCAAGATCATGTTGGCGGCTTCCTTGCTGACGTCTGTTCCCGTCTGCCCCATGGCAATACCGATGTCTGCCGACTTCAGGGCGACTGCGTCATTCACCCCATCTCCCGTCATGGCCACGATCGCCCCCGACTCCTGCAAGGCCTTGGACAGAGGGGCATGATCAGACCCACATCTGGGACCTTCCTTCCTCCTACCCCCGCAGCCTACAGCCAGCCAGCCTCAGTTTCTCCATCTGAAAATGGGCCCTACTTCCTAGGGCTGCCGTAGGACCTGAGTTAAGACACTAAATGTGTCCACCACATCCAACGGCTCTGGAAATGTTACCTGTCACAAGTAATACGCAACCTTCAGTGACACTCCTGAGCATAAGTTGAATAATAGATGTATTGCTAAAACTCAAAACCCCCCCAAAGTAACAGAAAAAACAAACTCAACCACCCAGGGTGGGAGAACCAGCATGTGTACAGGGTTCTTCCGGTGAAATGTTGTGTCTTTTAGATGTACCATTAGAAAGCTATCTCTCTACTAGATGCTTGCTGAGGACCACAATGGCTTGGCTTCAAATCCCAAACATGGGAGGTGACTCACACAATTCACATTGTCCCCGTTTTACAGGTGAAGAAACTGAGGCTCAGAGTTAAATTGCAAGAGGTACCCAGGTCTGTTTTCATCTTTCACTTTCCTTCAGCCCATTCCAACTCCGATTCTCAGTGCCTGGAGGTAAACGACTCTCCAGGTCTCTTGCCTTCTCATGATAGCACCCCAGTTTCCTTGCCACAAGTCCACCCAGGGAGAGCACATATGTCCCAGCATTCCTTGCAGCAGGACATGGCCACATGACTAAGTGGAGCCCCCTGACTGTGGGAAAGCTGGCTTGAGTTGTAACCACCACTTGGGATTTAAGCCCCGTTTTGAGGCGGCCCCGTGCCCTGAACAGTGGTCTGGGGGAGACAAGTTTGGGGCCCATGCTGCGGCAGCAGAGTCAGCCTGCACCCCTACCTTGATGATGCGGAGTTTGTGCTTTGGGCTGGTCCTGAAGAAGACAGACACCTGGACACACACAGCAGAGCGTGTGTGACCACAAGGCTGGCACGCACTACTCCACAAACCTGTCACACAGGCCCCACCCTCACATGGACCCCCACCCACGTGGATCCCCGAAACGCAGGTTCCCCGTCACGTAAGGCTCCCCTCACAAGACCCTGATCACCAGCATCTGTTACACCAAGGAACACTCAGGGACGCCGTCTCACACAGGCCCCCATCTACCTTTCTGACGCACTCAGCCAGCTGGTCCTCTTCTGTGTATTCCAGCTCCTCCCCAGACATAGCGCTGATCTGCCCATTGCACAGGCCGATGCTTCTTCCTTAGGGAGAACTATCCTGAATGTGTGCTGTACCTTTGCCTCCTCTGGTCAAGAGTAAGCCTCAAGCCGGAGGGCAAGAGCTGGAGGTGTCCCTGCTACGTGCCACCCCGTCTCCTACATAGTCTCCACTCTGGTAACAAGGGTCTCGCCGAGGTCACGCCACTGAAGAGAGGGACGGGAGTCTGACCCAGTGTTGGAGCTTTTCACAACACCAAGCTGCCTTGAGTCCCAGAGGAAGTGGGGTGCTAGCTCTCTGCTGATGAGACTAAGGGTCAGAGTGGCTCAGTGAAATGACCAGAGGGCAAGTGAGATCGGAATGGCACACTGGGCACGATGCTCCCTGTCAAAATGAAACAGAACTCCTGGCACATGGTAGACAACCTTTCCCCATCTGGAGAAACATACCAACACTATGGAGACGTGAACTCCTTGAAGGAGAAGTCTAGGCCTGGACCCTTCTGGCCAGGTATACCAAAGAAACTGGAGTTAAGTGCCCTCGAGTTGGTTCTGACTCACAGCAACCCTCCATCGGGTTCCGATGAGAGTCTGGTGGATTTAAACCCCCTATCTTGTGGTTAGCAGCCCAGTGCTGACCCTAGAGCGCCACACCTGGACTCCTTTTGAAAGGGCGGAGGAAGCTTTTCTTGCTCAGGTGCGCCCTCTCCCTTCCCGGTTACCTATGGCCAACGCTGTCTCCAGAGCGTCTCCTGTGATCATCTTCACTGACACGCCTGATTCGCAGAGAACCTGCACGGCTTCCTGCACACCGGCCCTCGGAGGGTCGATGATTCCCACGAGGCCCAGGAACGTCAGCTGCCCCAGCTCGGGCCCAGACGACAGGGCCAGTACTGAGGAGACACGGGGACAGAGAGGTCACAGGGTGGGGGCGAGCCTTAATCAGCCTTTCCAGCCTTAAGTGATTTGGTTTTAATGTTAGGAGACAACTTCCAAGAGTACATGGAAAAAAATACCTCTGTCCTATTTCAATTCCATTTTCATAGACTTTTTAAAGCCCCATTGTGAAAGTTGACCAGCTAGGAGAGACGTATGCTTTCGACTTGTTTACGATGAGCAGCAGCAGCTGCAGATGTCGCCAGCGTCTACGGCCTCCTCATACTTTAACAGATGAGGAAACTGAGGCACAGCCTTTACCTGTGGGCCAGTGTCGACCTTCAGTTTTAGCTCTTTGCTACCAAGTCAATTCCAGCTCCTAGAAGCCCTACAAACAGAGTAGATGGCCCTGCAGGGTTTCCTAAGGTCCCATGGAAACTGACAGTCCGCTGTCTCTCATGCAGAGCGACTGCGTGTGTTTGAACTGCCGACCTTGGGGTAATAGCTGAAAGCATAACTGTTGCTGCACCAACCGTCTTGGGACCCTGAGACGTGTAAAATGCTTCTGCAGGGCAGGGACACAAACCCTCACTAGGAAGACATGCTGCATGGCTCAGCATTTACTGAGAGACCAGATCTCTGCCTCCCTGCAAGCCTGTCAGCATTTCTCCTCTCCAACAGGGAAAAACCCAGCAAGCAAATCAGCACAGTTAGCGGGACGACCTTGTGCTGCCACCACAGAGTATGAGTAAGCCGATGGGAGACGGAGCTGCTGTCTTATTGGTACACTGGAAATGTCAACGTGACGCGCCCACCTGGAGCCCCGGCTCCAGTCCCAGTCACTGACCCCGCAGGCCCAGTGTGGCCATCCTCTTCTCCTCCTGCTCGCACAGTGACTGCTGCTGGGGCGTCAGGGGCAGCGAGATACCCCCATGGTTGTACATCGTACAATACCGGATCACTTCCTCCAAGGCCCCCTTCAGGAAGTAAATGTCTTCCTGCTCCTGGAAAAAGACCAAAGATGGAAAAATACTGTCACGGGAGGCTGAGCAAGGGGACCGTTCACTTTGTCCTGCACAAGGGATGGTCACGAGGAAGTGAGTTCTTACATTGGTGGCCAGTGGGCCTGACGCTTGTGCCTGCACCCAAATTGCTGGACCCTTGCTCCCCGAGTTCCCCATGTACTTGGGTCTGGGGAGGAATCTGAGGGCTGCATTACCACCAAATGCCCAGGTGATGGGGATGTGTGGCTGGCCCAGAGACCCGACTTTCAGAACCACTGTGTTAGATATCGTGGCCAACTCAGAGTTTCTGAAAAGCAGGGGGTGGGTTTGAACTGCTGACCTTACAGTTACCAGTTCAGTGCTTATCCTACAGGGCCACACAATTAGCATGTATTTGGACCCCAAGGAATCCTGGGAACGAGGTTGGTGGTTTAAGTTGATCAGCGGCTCCACAGAATAAAGACCTGGTGATCTGCTCCCACAAAGCAAGCCCTCTGGGGCTGTTCTACATGGTCACATGGGGTCGCTGTGAGCCTATCAACTCAAGGGCACCCAGGAACAACATGAGGAATAGTTCAAGGACTTGCAAACTGTCGCCTTGGCATCTGACTTCTGCGTTCCGTTTTGTGAGGAATGTGAAGGGTCAGAGGGGCGGGCAGACTCACCTCGTTCTTCCGGCTGCACCGCACTGCCATCCACTTCTGTTCTGAGCTGAATGGGATCTCTTTTTTCCTTACGTAGGAATCTTTGACATCACTTAAGCCCATCTATAATGACAGAATGACAGGCTTTGGCGCAAAGTCTGTCCACTTAACAGTTTCTTCAGTCAGACCATTACGGACAGACGGGAAATCCTAACACTGATCCCACTCCTAACACAGGATGCGAAACCTGCGGGCTCCCACACCAGCTTTTGGTGGCAGATAACCATCAATGGCTGATGATTTTGGAGGCAGATAACCAGTCTCCAGGGAGGACGACGTGGCAATCTGCTTCAGTCACTATGACGGCCTTGGAAACCCAGTGGGGTAGTTCTTCCCCGGCCTGTGGGGTCACCAGGAGCCAGGATAGACTGGACAGCTGTGGGTTTGGTTTGGGTTAACCCCTTAGTGTCACTGGAGCATGAGTAACATGCACACAGCTAGCGCTCAGCCCTTCAGCTGCTATTGCATCTACACGGCACATCTTAAAATCCCAGGCCAGGACCCCAGACTAGTTACGGGGTGTGTTTAGAGTTGTAATAAGACAATCACAAGACTTCCGTTTCTGTTATAAAAGTGCCATCACGTCAGTTCTGACTCAGTGACGCCGTGTAAGGTTTCTGAGGTTGTAAATCTTTGTGGGAACAGAAAGCCTCATCTTTCTCTCACAGAGCAGCTGGTGGGCTTGAGCCACCAACACTGTGGTTCACAGCTCCAGCGCTTATCTTGTGGAGTCGCCATGCATGCTCCCCCTCCTCCTGACTAGGCCACTGCTTTCTGTTGATGCAGTGGGCACTTTAGAGGGCGCTTAGCTTGGAATCCTTGTGTGGTGTACATTTAATGTACTCGAGCGTTAACTGAAAGGTTGGAGGTGCAAGCTCACTCCGAGGCACACATCAGAGGAAAGGTCTGGAAATCAGCTTCCAACAATTCAGCTAATGACAACCTCACGCCGCATAGAATCAACTCAATGACAACTGGTCTAAGTCCCATTCATTAGTCCTGACATTCCAAGGAAGGGGAAGAAGACGTGGGATAATGTCGCCATTTCCTTTACTTGGACTTCGTAAGGGGACACTCAATCCCCACTCATTGTCCCACCCAGCAGGGGCTTTGAAATGTCCCCCTGTGGAGATATAGGCAGGACATGGAGATGAAGGGACCAGCATCTGCTCTCCCATGCAGAGAGGACATGGGCACACCTGGACACAGCCAATGTGACTCGGGAGGCAAGCCCAGGAGCACACAGGGCTCTAATTATCCAAAAATCTCTACAAAACTTCTACAGCTCCCCAACAAAATGACAAACAGCCCAATCAAAACACAGGCAAAGGATTAGAACAGGCATTACACCCAAGAGGGTATTGAACACATGAAAAGATGCTCAAAGCTATTAGATGGTGTTGGATGCCACCGAGTCTGTTGTGTGCGACTCTTTATAGGGTTTCCAAGGCAGCTTCATGTTTTTCTCACGGAGCGGCTGGTGGATTCGAATTGCCAACCCTGACTTAACAGCACAACACATAACCCACTCCATCACCAGACATGAGAAAGATGCAGCTCAGAACTCCGACGCAATACCCCTTCCACCCAATCAGCATGGCCGTGACCAGAAAGCAAGAGGAGTTGGTGAGGATGTGGAAAAGCTGACCCTTCACGCATTAGAGGCAGGAATGCAAAATGGCGCAGCTGTTGTAGAAAATAGTTTGGTGGGTCCTCAAATAGCTGACTAGAGAACTGCCATATGATCCAACGAGACGTGGAGGCAGGAACACAAACCTGCACCCCAATGTTCACAGCAGCCTAAAGGTGCAAACACCATGCTGAGTGACAGCAGTCAGCCACCAAAGGACAAATACTGCAGCATCTTACGCTGATGAAATAATATACAGAAACCCAAGACAGTGGTTACACAGTGGTTACCGGGGGTGGCATGGGGGGGGGGGTATTTTTTTATTAGAAGGTGTGTTTCTGTGACTGATTTGGGGGAATGATTTGGAAAAGGCCAAGACGGGTTGCACAACTTGAATGCAATCCATATCACATGCAGAAATTGTTGATGCGCTCCATGGTTTGTTGAGAATATTTTCAACACAATAAAAATTTGACATCACCGAAGATGGACAACACGCACTGCCCAGTATCTCAGAGCCCCGACTTCACCCCTCATCACCCTTGACCGCTGGTGCGTTGTGATCCACCTCCCATCATTTGGTCAGCTGGAGCTTTTATTTTGCTACCCATCTCAGAGCGAGAGAATGCCCAAAGCGGACCGCAGGAGTCCTACCTTCATGGCCAGGGCTATCAGAGCCCCCTCTGTGGGCTGTCCCAACACTGTGTTCTTCCTGACAATGGCATTGTTGGCCACACAGCCAGCCTGCAGGAGAGAAAGGCCCCATGGATCCGGTGAGTTCTCAGAACCAACACTCAGGGAACCTGGGTCCCCTTGGGCATGTGTACAAGTCAGATGCTGCAGACTTGATCTAACATTTGTGGGACTAGAACTGAAGGCATGAAAGGAGGAGATGAAGGCTAAGAAGGGTTAGGGGTTATATCACACAGAACTTGGAGACTAGATTTAGGAGCTTGGATTATGTCCTGGGATGGAAAGCCCTTGGTAAAGCTAGAAGTAAGGGGAGAACGGGATGAGTTGTACATTCTAGAAAGATCCCTCAACAACAAGATTGGGGACTAGGGGGCACTACAGCGAATGTTTGCTGGTTTTTTAACAGGTGTGGTTCTTGAAACATAGGCCTCAGTCTGTTTGACACCTTCCCTGTTAAAAGGTAGAGTCCAGGTTCCCTTGAGTGTGTGCTAGACTTCAGTGACCTGCTGCTAACAAATCAACTACCCATTTGTCAGTGTGTTATACACTGTGGTGGCCTGTGTGTTGCTCACTGGTATCTATAACACAGCTGGGACACCCAGAGTGGACCGGTTCCAGGAGAGGTTTCACACAAAGACAAGCCAATCGACTTTTGAAAATTAACCAATGAAAACGTTATGGGTCGGCAACAGAACCTTCCGGCGTCTTGTTTCGGAGGAATCAACTGTTGGAGGAGGGTGGTGGTGTTGGTGAGGTGGTGGAGTCGCAATGCTGGAGGACCAGACGACACTTGGTTGTGTTGTCCAGGGGGTCACCGTGAGTCTGAGTTGACTCAAGTAGTGTCAGTTGTCCCAAAGTTGTCACGGAAGGCGGCTATGCATGTGTGTAAGGGGGTGACTGACTGCTGACAGGGACAGGTTGCCTTCGGGGAGACGAACATGTTCTGGAATTAGACTAGGGGCGTGGAAGCTCCTAAAGACCACTGAATTGTACGCTGTATAAGGGTGAGCTCTGCAGTGTGTGGGTACTATCTCAGTAAGAAAATTAGGTCAAAAAACACAAAGAAAAGCAAACTAACAAACAAGACCATTGGTTTGCTCGGCTTTCCTTCTGGTCTGGCCCGGTGCTCTGAACACTCACTAACATCCCTCAGGATCTGCAAACCATGAGCTAACAGGTGCAACTGCAAGGTTACTGAGATGATGAAGTGGGGCCAACTGAACGTCAGGAGGCCTCACTGTGTGGGAAGGAGCAATGGGCAGAGTGCACGATGGGACCAAGTAAAACTCTAAGTCATAGCTGCAACAACGCTGTCATCTGCAGTAGCATTGGCTCTGATGCAGGGCAACCCCATCCACACAATGGCATGAAAGGCTAGCATGATCAGATGCAGTGATCCATAGGGTTCTCCTTGGCTGATTTTTGGGGAGAAGATCACCAGGTCTTCCTTCCTACTTAGTGTGGATGCTCTACCCAGCATCACAGCAGCATGTATGCCTCTAAGGACACACAAGTGGGGGCTAGGCATGAGGTGCACTGGCCGGGAACTGAACCTGGGTCTCCCAGACTGGAGGTGAGAAATCTACCACAGAGCTCCGACCATCCTAACGGGCTGATTATCCAACGGTTTACTCTGCAACATCCACTGAGCAGCGACTCCATGGGGGCGTCTCTTACCTCTCCAGCAGGTGGTGACAATGGAAAATGTTCTTCTGTTACCTCTTGGGGTCTTTTTCCAGTCCTATAACTCCACACCCTAACTGCTGGGGTGACCCAATCACCTCCCCAGTTGGTCCAACAGCTATTCCTCTTTTCAGAGAAATCACCATCAGTCCTATCTTAAATGCATATTACCAACTCTGGCACTTTTGACTCTTACCTCCACTAATTTTCCCACTGAGACATTGGAAAATTCCTTCAGTACTTCCTTGGATGGTAACAGACACACACTCCCATTGCCATTGTACCCGACCCCACTGACCTGCAGGGAAAGACAGAGGGAAGGTTGTCACCAGAGGCAACAACATTGTCAGCAGCATGCGCCTCCCACTGACCCCAAATCTATCTCCTGAGTCTCAATCCTGAGCTCCACATGGACTAAGCTTTCTGTCTGAAGATGTTTCCCTGTAGGATTATTTACTAATTAGAATATCTCATCTACTAACAATACTGCCATGTTTGAGCCAATTGCATGGGCTGCTCAATGGAGCATTTTCAGCTGTGAAAATGGTGGTTAAGAAGATCAGGTAACAATATAGAAGACTTGCGCTCCTAAACAGGGTCAGCAGACTTCCTGTTAGTCCTACCTTTAGGATGTTCACAAGAACAATTTTTATTAAAAAAGAGGCTATTTTTAAGTCAGTAACATTCCTTGCCATTCCATGCAGTAACGAGTTAATGCAACCATTCAAATGTACTTTTTCCTTGGTTTTTACAAGTTTCCAGGTGTCCTGCCTAGGCATTCAGGGTTTCTACCTGGTTTGGGTCACTTCAGTTTAGTAATGTCTAAACCTGAATCAAACAGGAAGACCCAAATGTTTAAAATTTGGGTGAAATGGGATAATAACAGGAACAGGGAGAAGTTATGAGTTGAGGCCCTGGAATAAGAGACTCGGGAGAGTCGTGAGAACTTTCAGGAGCCTCAATTATTCCAAGATTGTGGAGAGGGACACGCATTCAAACCAACACAGTCAGCCGCCACCTTTGATCTGGGCACTGCTGTTTCCCATGATGAGGGCAAGAGATGTGGCTGCTTAGCAACGTGCAGCTGCCCTAAGAGGGAGATTCCGGTTCCCCTGTTCTGCATTCTGGCTATCATTCCGGCTCACCCAAACTGCAAAACTTGGGGTCTGTTCCAGTGTCGCTGCCTTAGCCATGACCGAATAGGACTGAACCAGTTCGAAGCCCTGGGAAACAAGGGATCTGGCAGGGCAAACCTTCCTTTAAACCTCATCGGTTCTCACGGGATTCACCTCAGCGTGGAGCCCATCGGACGTCACCAGCTGGGTCACTGTCATCTCGTTGGCTGTCAGAGTCCCCGTCTTGTCAGAACAGATGATATTGCAGCAACCTACGACCCGCAAACCCCAACAGTTTGTGAAGAGACAAGTCACCCCCACTCTCAGCCTGACCTACTATGACCCCAAGCCCACGCCTCGCTGGAGTCCCTTGAGGGAACCCTGGTGGCACAGAGGTTAAGCGCTCGGCTGCGCACCACAAGGTCAACAGGGCAAACATACCAGCCACTCCCATACGGACTTAGTCTCAGAAACCATACAAAGGGCTGGGTTTACTTTTAGAGTCTCTCAAATTGCCCTGATGGTTCAGTGGCTAAGAGCTCATATGCTAAGCCGAAGGTCAGCATATGACCACTAGCTGCTCCACAGTAGAAAAATGAGACCATCTGTTTCCAAAAAGATGTATATAGCCTTGAAAACCCTAAGGGCACTTGTACTTGTATTCTGCCTTCGGGTTTGCTGTGAATTGGCATTGACTGGGCAGAGGTGGGTCTGGTCTCCAGTCCCTCACCTAGCGTCTCCACAATGGGCAGCTTCTTCACAATGACCCGCTTCTTGGCCATCCGCAGGACTCCTAGGACCAACGTGACCATGACCACAATAGGCAGGCCTTCCGGGATAGCGGCCACTGCCAGACTGGGGAGAGGACAGATGGGTCACATTCCACATTCCACCCGAAACCACATGAATCCTAACCGTCTGCATCCGCTGTCCGTCTCCTCCTGCAAACACCTGTTCCTCGAAAGGCATCTCCTCCGCCAGTCATTCACACCATAGTATGAACTAGTCCATCTGCCAGGCTCCCTCTGCTGCATTTAAATTCTCCTTTACTGGAGGGAAGGAGGAGCCCTGTGGTCACAGTGGTTACGTGCTCAGCTGCCAACTAAAATGTCAGTGGTTTGAACCCATTCATTGCTCTGTGGGAGAAAGATGAGGCAGCCGACTTGGAAGATTTGGTCTTTTAAATAAAGTTCACGCTAAAGTTAAGCAATGGACTGCTAACCGCAAGGTCAGCAGTTCAAACCTGCCAGCTGCTTCTCGAAAACCCTATACAGATTACTATGGGTCGGATCCAACTATATGGCCCTTAATAACAAATCATCTCACCGTGTACGAATGACTAACATATTAACATATAGGGTATAGAACAACCCCTGAGACAGTGTCTCCAAAACAAATCAGCGGAGCGTCATTCTGCGTAACACTGCATCGCTGACCTCTATGTGTGAAGTGACTTTCATCGATCCAAGGAGCTCCTGGGGTTTTTTTGTTTTTTTTTTTTTAGAAGTGTTTTGAAGAAGGAAAAACCCTGGCCACCCACCAAGAGCATGATGTCATCTCATCACAGCCTGCGGAAGTGGAGGTTTGCCTTCAGAGAAGTGAAACATGAACAAGAACATGCATCTCAGAACCAGAAACACGGCCCCAGTGCCCAGGGAACATTCAGGGACAGGCTCTGTAAGGCAAGGTCACTGATAATGCCCGGTTTCCAGGGTGAGGACAAAACAGCGCCCTCGGTGACATGCTGCCAGCTGACAAGATGAGCAAGACGGTGCCTTGCAGGTGGTTGTCAAGGAAACTTCCATCCCCATCTGGTGTAGGAAGGGCATTCTTCACACGTACCTGGATAGCTTCATAATAAAGCGTTAACTCACTAACGAACAAAGACCGGAACAGGCCAGGACAAGGAGAGCAAGCATCCCTCAGAGACACTGGGTTCAGTTCCAGACAACCACAACAAAATGACTATCACAATCAAGTGAGTCACGTGCATCTTTTGGTTCCCCAGGGCACGGAAGAGTGATGTCTACACTACATCATAGTCTATGAGTCCTGGTGTGGCAATGCAGGATAAACACTGGACTGCTCACAATAAGGTTGGTTGTTCAAACCCACAGCAGCTCCTCGGAAGCCCAACACAGGGTAGTTATGAGTCTGAAGGGACTCAACGGCACTTTACAACAATCGTCTATGAAGAGTGTACTAACTTGATGGGAAGTTGATAATACTTTGAGAATCACCGAGATGTGACACAGAGACATACAGTGAATGCGTGCTATTGGAAAGATGACAGACAGACTGGCTCGACGCAGAGCTGCCACAAATCTCCAATTTCCAAAACACTTGCTATCTGTAAAGTGCAATCTAACGAGATGCCCTGGGGGCACCTTGAGTGTTACTCGTGGCCAGGGGCTAGGGATAAAGTGTGACAACAGACAACACACAAAGGAGCCATCATTTCTACCTTCTAATTCAGTGGGTCACCGGGGCTTCCAGCTTCCACCAAACACTGCAATACCTCACCCAAAGTAACAACCAGTGCCAAGAACAGGGCTCTCAGCTGCTCGCTGAACATGGCAAAGTGGGGTGAACATGGCAAGAAATCACAAACACTGGACTCACAGGGACTGGTGGCACCCCGAGACCGCGTGCCTCAGACACACACACTTCAGGCTGAAAACGGAACTTAGCCTCCTGGCTCAAGTTTCCACCAAACGGTAGACAGGCTGTAACAATGAGAACAAAGACACCAGGGAGGTACACACGCCTTAGAACCAGCAAAATAGAGTGAAATCAGAAATGCCCAGTGCTACGCTGGGGAAGGAGTTGAAGGCAGTGGGCCTTTTTGTCCTTAACTGCTGACCTTGTGGACAGAGCAGGGCTGGGAGCCTCTTCTACAGCAGGCTTACCTGACCCCGATGGTGAACATGCTGAGTATCGGCTTCCCTTGCAGCCAGCCAGTGAACATGATCAGACCTGGAGGAAAACGAAAACAAGCGTGACTTCCCCGACGTCTGAATGCCCTCCACGCTCTTTTCAACACAGGGAGATGCTTAATAACCTGAAGTACATCCTCTTGCTTTTTAAATAAGGAAGATACTTTTATACCTACCAAAAACATGGCTTTAGGTTTGCAGGGAAGGAGCAAGTCAAGTTTCCAGGAAGAAACATGCACTCAGTCGATTCGGGCTGTTGGCGAGTATCTACGTATAATCCCCAAGTCTCCTCATGTGCTGACTACATCCCAATCCACCCACCGGACCCTGGGGTTGTGGAGGTGACAGACAGCAGCGGTCCCATGATAGGTAGGTGGGCTGCTATTGCTTTAATTAGTTTACCCTGCAGTTTTCATATTAATATGTTCTGGTCCCTGCTTTCTCCTTCACTGGTCATTTTCAGGATGTTTTAGGTCAGGCACTGACCCTTAGAATAAGGAAGCCCACTCCTTCCCATCCCAGAGGGACCCTGGAGGCAGAGGAAGGGGCCAGAGCAGAGCTTGGACACATGATAATCCATGAGATGTTCTGGGAATGGGGACAAGTTCTGGGAATGCCAGGCATGTCATCTGTGAAATGGGCATAAAGCTTCGGTCTCAGGGTTTACCAATCATGGCAACCTGTGTGTGTCAGAGCAGAACTGTGCTCTAAACGGGTTTTAATGACTCATGTTTTGGGAGGGGATCATCAGGCCTTTTTTCCTAGGTGCTCTGGGTAGACTCAAACCTCCAAATTTGTAGTTAGCAGTAAAGTACGTTAACCATTCGTACAGCCCATGGTAGGGTGGGTCATAATCCAGTCACAGTGAAGAAGAGACAGACAGACAGATGGAAGACGGAATGTGAGAGAACACATCCAAGCATCCAAAAGCGTAGGAACACCGGGGGCCACCAGCAAGCGAGAGACACAGGAGTGTATGGAGAAAACATGGCCGTGCAGAAGCCCTGACCTTGGACTCGGCCTCCAGACTCTGAGACAACACATTTGTTCTTGTGAGCCTCTCAGCCCGTGGTTTGACTCCAGAAACCCTACAAATTTAACAACTAAGGAAGTCGACTTCGACGTACGATGGCCCATCATGTGTCCGAGTAGAACTGTGCTCCGTTCGGTTTCCAAAGACTGATTTGTTGGAAGTTATTGCCAGGCCTTTCTTTGGAGGTACCTCTGGATGGATTTGAACTTTAAACCTTTCCGTTAGCAGGGAGCATGTTAACCGTTTGCACAGGACACCTGGTTTCAAAACATCTGCTTTTTTAAAGTGGTTTTCCCAAGGTTAACAAGAAAAGCATCAGAAATGTGTTGTCATGTGCCTTGCCTCGGGTGTACCGTGCAACCTTACCTCGAGGAATCAGACCTCACACGCAGAACTTAAACCACACATCTTGTCTTGTGGAACGGGGGGAGGGGGCTAATACTATCTTCCCTGGCAATCTGTCTAGGAGCGCATTTAGCTGGGATGTGTCCTTGGAGGTGCTGAGATGGGAAGAACAGAACTGCAGACTACAGCACCATCTGTCTCCAGAACCCTCAACTCTCTAGAGAAGGGGTAGGCATTTCATATCGTGCCCTCCCTGGAGCCTTGCCCACCACATCTTTTGCATTTCATACCTGTTCAGGTGTGTCTGTCCCCTACTGTTCTGGGCGGCGGGGGAATCCTTCAAAGGACATGGCCTGTGTTCTGCTCCTCTCTGGGGCCTAAGAAGACCTAGCACAAGGTCTGAAATGTCACAGAGATGGAGGTGATGGAGGTGATGGAGGTGATGGTGGTGATGGTAGTGATGGTAGTGATGGAGGTGATGGAGGTGATGGTGGTGTGCCGTGGAGTCAGTTCTTACTCATAGCAATCCTATATAGGGTTTTCTGAGGTTGTAAATCTTCATGGGAGCAGAAAGCCTCATTTTCTCCACGGAGCAACTGGTAGATTCGAACTACTGCCCTTGCGGTTTACAGCCCAGCTCGTAATCCACTATGCTCCCAGGGCCCCTTAAATGGTCACAGTATACTCTAATGAACTAGAGCACAACCAGGACTTTGAACCAGTTCAAACCAGTTTTGTCATCACTGTTGTGAAGGAGGGCTAGGTACACATTGCATAACCACCAAATCCATTGCCTGCGGTATTTTGACCTGAGTAGGAAACAAACAAGGAGCTTGTGTGGTGCTGTGGGTTAAGCACTGGGCAGTTCAAACCTGCCAGTCATTCCATGGGAGAAAGACAAGTCTGTCTGCTCCTGTAAATACCGCAGTCTCGAACAGCCCACAGGGCAGTTCTCCTCTGCCCTACCAGGTTGCTAGGATTTGGAACAGAATCGATGGCGAAGGGTTTGGTTGGGGTTCGATACCCAAGAGCTCTGGCCCACTCAAAGATGGCGGCCAACCATGCAGTTTTGAGTATGTGTCGCTGTCCACATTGTAGTTAACTGCCATTGAGTCAGTTCTGACTCATAGCGACCCTATATAGGGCTTCGGAGGAGTGGCTAGTAGTTTGGAATCACTGAACTTTCGGTTCAAACTAACTTTCTGGTCCAGTGCTTATCCTACAGTGTCACATCAGGACTGGGCCAAAATATCACGGGCACAGATTTGGCCGCTATGCAAATTACTTACAACAGCACTTGCTGGACCATTTAGAAGTGGATCCAAGTCCTGTACATATCCAAGAGCTGCTAGGAGGCTTCATGTTTCTCCCAAGAACTTTTTCTGGCTCCCGTTTCAGCTAGACACTCCACTGACTCCAGATCCCTGCATGTGTCAAGGGCAAAGACTTGCTGGTTTGTTCGTTCACTAACTCATTCACTTAACAAGTGTATATTGAGCATCTACTCCAGGCCAGATACCAGCTGATCCTGAAGGTCGGGAATGAAGGACACATGGAACCAGAGCTTGAGCACTGAAAAGGAGTCAGTGAAGGGACTATAGGGTGGCCTCACAGGACTGATGTTCAGGGTAAAGACCCGTGGGAAGCAGTTTGGTGTGTTGTCAAAGGGCTGGAAGCTCAAGACCAGGCCCAGCATACATCTTCTCAGTTGCTGATGAGGTGGCTCCAAGTCATGACCTCATGCATAAGACTGCACCACTGTGACTGATCAAGTTCACACTAGCTGGATTTCAGAAGCAGATCACCCGGCAGCCTTTCTTCCTACTCCTCCTAGTCTGGAAATCCTGATGAAACTTGCTGAGCACCAACTCGATGGAATTGTTAAGTTCCCACAGTAACCCTGTATAAGGTTTCCAAGGAGCAGCTGGTAAACTTGAACCACCAACCTTGCAGTTCAAATGACTTTGCAGTCTGATGCATTAGCCCACAGCACCACACCAGGACTCTGATGAGCATCATAGCAGCAGACAAACTTCCATGGACTGTTGGGTGGAGGCTGCTCATGTTGCACACGGACCGGGAAAGGAACCAGGTTTTTTGTGTGGAAGGTGAGATTTCTACCACTGAGCTTCCCCTGTGCCCTGCCTCAGTCTGCTCAGTAACACAGAAATGTGGCTGGGTGCGCAGGTAAACTACATTTCCCAGCCTTCCTAGTATTTAGGTAGACCATGTGACTCCAGCCTGGACAGTGGGCAAAAGTGAAGACTCACTTCGAGGTTCAGGCCTTATAAACGCCCCCCAAACATCTCCTTTTTCTCTCTTCTCCCATTTGTGGACTGAATAGGAAACTATGTCCCTCGCCAAAGACTAAAGGAAGGCAGAGCAACGCTTTGGTAGGAGCCTAAGATCCTGAGTCAGAGTTGGAGGTGAGCTCCCCAGAAAACCCAGGATCGCCCCCATGGTGAGAGCAAGAAGGGCACATTTATCAGGGTCATGGTAGCTGTCAGTAACCATCAAGTCAACCCCAATTCATGATGATCCCATTGGCACAAGACTTTCACTGGTTAGTTTTCAGAAGTAGATCACCAGGCCTTTCTTCCTACTCTTAGTCTGCAAGGTCTGTTGAAATCTATTCAGCATCCTAGCAACACTGATAGATGGATGGAGCATTGGCTGGAGATCACCCCTGGGTCTTCCTCAGAGCAGGAGAGAATTCTACCACTGAAAACACCAAGCCGTGTAAATGTGGGGGCTGTTAGTATGCCTGGTCTGAGAAGGACAGGAGTCTACATGTCCAACTCCAGTCCTCACTCAGGTAAGTGGCAGAAAAGCTGGGAAACAGCCGTGGCTGCCCCAGGATGGCCCACTGCATCCCCGAAACCCAGCACAGACGCAGCCTCACTGACCGATGATGCCAAACGAGAAGAGTGTCAGATGCTTCCCCAGCTTGTCCATGCTCTTCTGCAAGGGCGTCTTAGGTGTCTGAAGGGACAAGAACAGTTGGTCAGTGAGACGAGACACCAGCAAGCACCTCCAGCTTCTGTGAGACTTTCTTCAAAATGCTCCCCCATGTGGCTCTGTCTTCACCTCGGTGATAGAGAGGTATACAAGTGTGAAAACTCACTGGTCTTGACACTGCAGACCTGCCACCTTACTGTCTGTAGGTTATACTAGGGCAAACGCCCAACACATACTTTATAAACTACAAATAAAAACCTTAAATGTACATGCATTAACATTTACGGAGGAGGGGGGAACGGATGAAAAGGTGAAGTACAATGCATATCTAGGGCAGTGGTACTATCCTTTAGGACACTGTATGGAGGACACCTGACATTACACACTGTCAAAATCCATAAAAATAATGTTCCACAAGAGGGGTGAGTAGTGACTGGAATCTAAGAGCTTTCGAGCAGTCATCTAAGATACATTTTCCCACTGAGGGCATAAACAGTGAAGAAAAGGAAAGATTCAAGGAATCAGTGCAAAGGACTGCTGACCACATGAAGCTCAGCCTTCCCTGCCCTGAGACCAGAAGGTCTAGATGGTGCCCGACTATATCTATCAACCACTTGGGGATCACAAAAGACAGCTGTGATGGGGCTGATAAAAGGAGATGGGGATAGCACTCATGTGGCATACTACTGAATAACTGCTATCAGGACTGACTGTAAGGGTTGGAAATATAAAGGTAGACATTTTGTAGCAAAAGGAGGGGAGTGATTGACTTTGCAGTCCAGGAGCAGAGGTCCCTGGGACCATCAAGGGAGAAGAGAGGAGTGCGGGACCCTACCCAGAGAAGTAGTGACGCCAGAGATGGAGGCAGACACAATGACATGGAGAGATGGAGTGGCTGAGGACTCTAGACCCAGAGAGGGAGAGAGGCTGTGTGCTGATGACCGGGGGGCAGGTTGTTTAATGATGCATGGAGGGGATTGTAACCATGGCAATGTAACATACACGATAAGATGAATGTAAAGCTAATGTTCTCCCATGTAAACTATCACAAAATTCACAATAAAACATTGAAAAAAAAAAAGATGGCCGAGGACAGAGTGGGAGCAAAATGTAGAACAAAATTCAAAATCATAAAAAAGATTTCAGACTGGCCTGATACAGACCGAAGAAACCCCTGAGACATCTTTTGGATCTGAAACTGAACTCGTCCCTGGGGATCCCCTTCCAGCCAGACACTCAACAGTGAATAGTAACAACGAGGAGGAAAATGTTCCTTAGAAGAGTCAGCCGCAGGGGACCAAACGAGCAGCACCGGTCCAAAACCACAGTTCAGAAGGCAGGAAGGGGCAAGAAAGAAGGATGAATGGAAATGGGGAACCCAGGGAGGAAGCGGGAGAATGCTGTTACACCGAGGGAATTGCAATGAACACTCCCAACAAAATGCGTATACATTGTTGAATGGGACAGTAGCTCGCTCCGTAAACTTTCATCCAAACCACAATGAAATATGTGAAAAACCAAACTGGACAACACAGAATGACCCCTAGTGTGAACTACGTTGTGTTGTTGTTGTTGTTGTTCCTTTTAGTCGGCTTTGTCTCACAGCAATCCAACAGGACAGAGTAGAACTGCCCCATAGGGTTTCCAAAGCTGTCACCTTGACAAAAATAGACAGCCACATCTTTCTCCCATGGAGAATCTGGAAGGCTTAAAACCATCAACGCTTCATTTGACCACTGTGCCAACGTTCCTTCATGTAAACTACAAATGTTAGGATAATTCTGTATCGAGATTGGTTCAATTGTAACAGATTACCACAGGAATGGGAGATGGGAACCCAGCAAGGAAACCTGGTAATGTAGTGGACTGATTACAGGCTGGGCTGCTGACCTGAAGGTCAACAGTTAGAATCTACTAGTAGCTCCACATGGGGTTAAAAATGAGGGTTTCTGCTTCTGTGAAGATCTACAACCTGGGAAACCCTATACAGGGTCAATACAACTTGGACCCGACACCATGACACATGCCTACCACCATGGGAGCCTAGAACTTTTCTGCACAATTTTTCTGTAAACCTAAAAATGTTCTAAAAATATAAAAGTTCATTAAAAAGGCTAACTCTACTCACATTAACCACGCCACCCTCATTCCTAAGAGGTGGACAGAACTGCCAGTCTAGAAAAATCTCAACGCTCATGTTATAGGAAACCAACATTCCCATGGTGCCTTACCTCTTCAGCCTGCATCATCTTAAAGACTTCTCCAAATTGAGACTGCTCCCCTGTTCCAATCACGACGCCCTGTGTTCAGATGAGAGACGTGTGAGCTCGGAAGACTGGAGGTGTGCAGGGCAGGGAGGCCACAGCCCAGTGGGCCCCAGGCTCACCTGGCCTTTCCCACACTGTACCAGCGTGCCCATGAAGACGATGTTGCTCAGTGTGGTGAGGTCGCCCCCGCCAGGCAGGGGGCTGTCTGTCTTACTGCACGGCTCAGCCTCTCCGGTAAAACTAGACTCGTCCACCAAGAGGTCTGTCACCTGGCGGGGCAAAGGAAAGAGAATGGGATCTTCCCTCACATCCTGCAAGTTGGTGGCTTTAAAAGCTCAGAATGGCATTCAGCACCTTCAAGCTGTTTGTCAGTAGATGTCCGACAAGGTGCACACAGAATCACGGCTAGATGCTTCTAACAACTGGAAATGCTTTTCTGAACCACTCTGAATGTGAGGCTCTTTTTGAAAAACATAAAGCACCTTTGCTCTTCTCCTGACATACCGTGCTCTGCCTACCTGAGAGGTGCCCAGATAATCCACATCAGTTAAGTCAAGTTGGTATTAACAGCCTAATGTTACGCTGGAGTCCCTGGGTGGTGTAAGTGGTTAACGCGCTCACCTGTTAAGCAAATTTGACAATCGAGTCCATTCAGAGGTGCCTTGGAAGAAATTCCTGGTAATCAGGAAAAGCCTACGGAGCACAGTTCTATTCTGACACACATGGGAACACTAAGTACAGTTAACTCCATGGCAGTTGGTTTGATTATGCTATGTTAATATCCGAACACACACGCATATGTATCTGTACCTATAGCCATCCACCCCAAGGCAAGGAGAAAGGAGATGCTGACATTTAAAAATACCTCCTGTGCAGCAGGTCCTGGGCTAAGGACTGTACAAGACTTCTCTCTTAACCCTCACACCCTACATGGAAGATACCATCATCACACCCCCATGTTACAAAGAAAGAAACCGAGGCTCACAGAGGTTAGGAGACTTGCTAAGGTTATACAGCTAATTAGGGGCAGAGCAGGGATTTGAACCAAGGCTCTGGTTCCTGTCCTACACTTGTAACCATCTTGTAATATTCTCTCTTGACCACAGATCCAGGGGGTGTCACTAGAGGGCAGACTTTCTGACCAGAAGCCCAGACCTCCTTTCCATGGTAGAGCAGCCAGATTGGTTCTGAGCTATCTGCTTCTAGACTCTCAGTGTTTCAGAGAGAAATACATCCTGGTTCAGTTGAAGTCACCATAACTTCTTAAATATAGTGATTGACCGCAACTCCCAACTAACTTAGACTTTGCATTTGTACTTTTGAGCCTCAAGACACCAAGGAAATTCAGAGGTATTATGAGGCTGTTTAGAACCCACAGTGAAAAGAAGTATTAAAACCATGTTAGCCAGTCACACAGGCTGCTGATCCCATGCATCCTGGGCTGTGCAAAGTGGAGCCACATCCCTGTAACAAGCTGATAATTCATTTCCAGAAAACATGGTCTAAATGGAATATCGTAAAAATAAGACTTGGACAATAGTCAGAAAATAGTCACTTTGAGAAGTAAGGTATGTCTGACTCAAGCCATGGTACTTTCAATTGCATCCTACAAATGCAAAATTTGACAAAGAAAGGAAGACCAAAGAACTGACGCCTTTGAGTTATGTTGGTAAAGAATATTCAGTGTGGACTACCAAAAGAACTAATCTGTCTTGGAAGACGTACATACAACCAGAACGCTCCTTAGAAGGGAAGATGGTGAGACTTTGTCTTAGGGACTTTGGAAATGTTATCATGAGGGATCAGTCCCTAGAGATGCACATCATGTTGGTCAAGTTGTTAAGTGCCATCAAGTCGGTTCCAACTCATTGACCCTCAGATAGGGTTTCCAATTAGCAGCTTCTGGGTTTGAACTACCAACCTCGTGGTTAGCAACCCAGCACTTATCCTACAGCGCCACACCAGAGGATCACAAAACAGAGGAAGACCCTCAAGGAGATGGATGGATACAGTGGCTGCCAGCAATGGGCTCGAACACAATTGTCAAGACGGAGTAAAATTAGGCAATGCTGCCCTCTGCTGTACATACATGACGACCATGTGTCAGAACTCACTGGGCAGCATGCAGCAACAACAGTTTGAATAAGTTGTAGTTAACTTGAACGCTTGGCTCAATTCCTCAGTTGTACGAAAGTTCAAGCCCATGAGGGGCCCCATCCAGTGTCTGAGTTTGAGGGACATACTTAGAACCACATGACGCTCTGATGCCATCAATAGTTGGAGGATTGGGAAGGTGAGATAGGACTGGGAGAGTGGGCGTCGGGAGGACAAGCTAGAAGCTAGGAGAGGCTCCTGGAGGACAAGGTCTAGAGAAGGTCCTGACGGGTGAGCAGACCTCAGGTGATGGAGTCTGGTAAGTTCTCTGGAGAGGGAAAAGGTGGCCAGTTGGGCACTTTGGGTGGGAGGAGGTGGGAAGATGTAGAGCTCTCTTCTCTCTTCTCCCATCACTCCAAACCAAACCCAACCTACTGCCATAGATTCCCACTCACAGAGACCACAGAGGATAGGGTACAACTATCCCATTGGATTTCCCAAGACACACAACTTTACGGAAGCCGACCACCCCATCTTTTCCCATGGAACAACTGGTGTGTTCAAACCGCTGGTCTTTTCTGTTAGCCACCAAGCATTTAACCACTGTCCCACCAGGGATCCTTCCTACCATCCCACCCACCTAAAACGGGCAGAATCTTCTCCCTGGGTTGCTGCCAGACCTATCTCTTTTCTCCCTGGGCGGAGCCGCCCCACACTGTCACTGATACGCCACTTTGGAGTAGCAGGTGGATGGGCGATTGGGCTCTATCCTGGTGCTGAAGTCACAAGCAGGAAACTGAGCTGCCCCCGCCTTTAAGGGGTGCTGAAAGGAAGACGGGACTTAAGTCAGCCAAGAGGAGTGGGCTCAGGCAGGCAGACAGGATGGTGGGGATTCACCTGAGGACACAGGTGAAGAACGGCATGACTGGAACATTTGTGGACGGTGTTGTTGGGACATAACTGGGCATGGTATTGACTGCCAGGGGAAGCAATGCGGAGATGAATTTGAAAGTAATTGTTGTTGTTGTTGTTGTTGTGAAGTGCCGTCGAGTCGGTTCCGACCCATAGCGACCCTGTGTAGGGTTTCCGAGGAGCAGCTGGTGAGCTTGAACCATTGACCTTGCAGTTCAAATGGCTTTGCAGTCCGGAGCATTAACCCACAGCGCCACACCAGAACTCCTTGCAAGTAATTAAGAGTCAGTAAAGTCTGGGCAGAATCTACTATGAGCAAAGAAGAGTGAGAAAAATCAAAGATTCAAGGAAACATTGAGTCCAAAGGGTTAATGGGCCACATGAACATCTGCCTACACAACCCAGAGACCAGAAAAACTAGATGGTACCTGATAGCCACTAGCAATTACTCTGATTGGGAGAATAGCAAGCCCTGGGCAGAATGGGAGAAAAATGTAAAATATTCAAAATCTTAAAAAACAAAAAAAGGCCAGACTTATTGGTCCAGTAGAAACTGGTGGAACTTTGGGCTGTAAGCACCTGCCAAGCCTGGAAGATAACAACCCACTTACACCCTATTCCCCAGGGATCATCTTACAGCCAAACAATAGATGCGCCCATAAACCGAACAGTAATTCCAGGGAGGAAAGCACTCCTCACAACTATCAAGTCTATGAGACCACCAGGGCAGCATTTGCTCAAAAATAGCATTCAGGAGACAAGATGTGGCAGAAAAGACCAGAGGATGGAAGGAAGGAATCCAGGGAAAAAACAGAAGGAGCGCTGTTAAATTGTAAGGATGGCAACCAAGGTCACAAAGCAAACTGCATAAATTGTTGAACGGGAAGCAAATTTACTCTTTACACTTTCAGCCAAGCCACAATGCAAAGTTAAGCCAAAAAGAATAAAAGGCTTAGGAGGGAGTTTAAGGCGGCATGCACATAGGGGAGATGGACAAGACTGTGTTGGATTCTGGGGAGGCAGGGCAGTTCCGTGGGAAGTGAGGCACAGTGTGGTCTTAGTGAGGGGTGGAGAGGACAGCAAAGTATAATTCCAGAGTGAAGACATGGCAAGAATGGGCAGAAACTAGAGACAAGCTAGCAGAATCAGGCACTGGAAGGGGAGATGGAGGCACTATGATAGAAAACACTCCATGCTTTCTACAGCATTCTGTCCACAAGCAGCTCTGGTTCTGGTTGTCTGGAATCTAACAAGCACACATACGTGACCATCATGATGAAAGGTATTATGATATTCATCCTCACGGTTGGATGGGGACCTTCTGTATCCCCATTATGACTTCTGAAGCATTTCTCAAGCTGAAAGGACTAAAGAAAAAAAATTCAAGCCTCGAGTTACAATAGTGAAGCAAAATACCGAACGACATGGGTAGCATCACAAGAAGATGTAAGAAATGTACAAAGTCACTGTACCAAGTAGAGTTGGCTGATGTTCAACCATTTCAAGAGAACCAACAGTATTGAAGGTAGAAGTCCAAAGCACACGGGAGGCATTGCGAAAAACCAGGCTGCAAAAATTAGTGGAATACAAATTGAAATATTTTCAACAAACTGATGCAAGACTGGAGGTGCTGACTTGTCTATACCAAGAAACTTGGAAGACAGTTATGTGGCCAACTGATTGGAAGCGATCCATATTTATGTCCAATTCAAACAAAAGTGATGCAATAGAATATGTAAACCATTAAACAGGATCATTAATATCACACGCTAGAAAAATGTGAAGATCATTTTAAAAAGCAGTTGAAGCAGTACCATTAACAGTAGCTGCCAGAAATTCAAGATTCAGAAGAGGATGTAGAGCAAGGCATGTGAAATGACTGAGCTTAGAGAGATCTTGAATGAAAATGGAGACCACCAGAAAGATGTTTAGTTGAGCTTTACGGACTATACAAAGGCCTTTAACTGTGTGAATCATAGCAAATTACTGATAAGATTGCAAAGAATGGGTAGTATTCCAGACAACTTAATTGTGCTCGTGAGGAGCCCATACGTAGACCAAGAGGCAGTCCTTAACAGAACAAAGGGGTTGCAAATAGTTTGATATCAAGGGTGTGCACCAGGGTTTCATTCTTTCACCATACTTATTCTATCTGTATGCTGAGTGAATCATGTGAGAAGCTGGATTATGTGAAGAAGAACATGGCATCAGCATTGAAGGAAGACTCATTAACAATCTACAATATGCAGATATCATAACCTAG